CGGTCGTAAGCAGATTGTGTTTGGCAGAGCTGTAAGTTTTTAACCTGATGTCTGTAAACTCCTTACAGGGACAGGTGCAGTGCGCAACAACGTGCCTGTTGTCATTAGTTTCACTGTGCCAAGTGAAGTCCATAGTTCTGCCGGAAAACATTGAAGGAGCTGCGGGTGAGGACAGGGAGCGGAGAGCTGAGGCGCAGCGGAAGGCAGACTCGGGGGTCCTGCCCCACTGCTGGCAGTCGTGACGGTGAAACGCGTCCACCTCAGCTGTCGCTGCTGGTGTGTCGTGGTAGCGACGAGCCACCTTTCACTGGGCAGTAATAGGGAGGGATTTTGTCCAATTCAACCATGTATGTTTAAAACCAGAAAATTCAAAATAACGATGTTTTCCCAAAAGCAAGGTAACCTGCACTCAGCGTTTTTCGTGCTCAAGGTCAAACGTTTTCCTCTGAATGCAGCAGTAAGAGCAGGCTGACATGTGGTTGCAGTCCCACAAGTTGGTATGGTCCAGCACTGGAGCAGCAAGACACTGCTTCCAGCTGTGTCCGCTGTTGCCTGTGCTGATACATGGTGGGTTGACGGGATGGATAGGATGGCAATCATAAGAGGTGTGTGTTTAACTTGTCCTTTCCCCTTCTCTCACACTTGCTTTGATATATCATTAACACTTGATGTAGGATAACGTGCAAATATAAATCAAACTGAGTTTTGGGACGTGTATGGATCTTTTTGGTGGGGAAAGAGGAATGTGAGAAAATCTTCCTTTTATTTAAAGAAATGCAGTATATCAAGCAAGTGGGAGGGATGCAAGGAGACTTGTTATTTTGTGATGATGAAGTTCCCTCCCCAAATTCAGATGTATTCATCTGTGTGTTTAAGGTATAGCCTGTATAACTACATACCCTCTTTTCAAGACCTTTGTGTCACCTATTGGGAGCTGAATAATTTGTTAGAATGTTCTGCATTACTTTTTGTATGCCGTATTATGAATGAGGTTGATCTGCATAACAGCTTTGCTTCGCTTGCTGTGAAAGTCTATAGAGGCCATAAATATAGCAGTGGGTTACCGGGAGAGGAATACTTCTGATAAAAGTAGTAGACTGAGATCCAGCTGTCTGATTTTGCTACAAAGCTGTGAAACCTGGCAAGTCGTTCAGCCTCTTGACGGTGCAATTTTACATCTTTGAGGATGTTCTGCAGCTGCACAAGACTAATAGGGGGCTGTGCTCCCCGTGGTCCTTGGGGCAATTCGGTAATACGGTGACGAGACCAAGGAGAAGGTGAGAGAGGGCATTCATATCCAGGATGTTGATTAGATAATATGCAGAAAGTAAGACAGATGAATAATAAAGATCAGGAAGAAAGTGAAGGGATGATTCAGCTCTGTCCACCTATGTGATGAATCATGGAAGGTGTTTGCCAATACGTGCTATATCATCGTAGCACTAACCTGTATATCATGTCATACATAAATACTGTTAAGGTTGCATAGGTTTCACATTGCTCTTTTCATTTTTAGTCTTCACATCAAGTATGCTTGACAGCTGTCTGGAAAGTATTTTATTTAATAGTAGAATAATATTTATATAGTGCAAGTATTAAAAGAACATCTATTTTTTGTCTATGATTGAAGAATGTACAAGCTACTGATGCTCAGAAAGTGACTGAATTCCATTAAATTCGGCTACTACGTGTGGATGTGATAATCGTGTGTGGGTATATGGAATACAGAAGAGGAGGTATGCTGGCAAATCTCAGTAGATCTAGGAACTGATCTTGTATCTGTAATTTTTCTGGAACTGATGACATGGACGCTTCAAGGTATTTGTGTAAAGGTCTGCAAAATGGAACTTTGCTTCTCTGAATTCTTTTACTTCATTGGAGGTTGTTCCTCAGACCAGGCCTGTGCCATCTAATTGTGTTTTACCTCTGTCAAAAGGAGGAACCAGTTAGAATTGTGTAGATAACAACTACTAAAATATGACATAAAAATCTGAACTGAATTTTGGGATCTGAGCTTTTTTCCTAATTTTTTTTTTTTTTTGAGGTACGTTGACTGTTCATAGAATTTCCAGTTAATGTTAATTTGTTGGCAAATTAGTTTTAATGTGGCCTTTTGAAAATTCTCAAAAGAAGAAAGGAACAATGTGTTTATATTAAACTTTAGAGTTTGAAATAGAATTTCTGGCAATTTTTCACTGTTCATGTTTATGGGAAAAATGATTGCATATGTAAAATTGTGAAGAAGCTTGGCTAATTTAACACACAGACTGTTAATAGTATGAAGTCGGGGTGCAGGGTATAAAGGTAAAATTCTCGCATCTGCTGTTACATGTTGTTAACTCCCTTAGCAGACGTTAAATCATTTCAAGTACAATAATAGTGTGGGAGGTAAATTAACTAACCATTAACAATCTTATAAATACACAATTAACATGCCAACATTTATATGACACATTGATAGGGCAGCAGTAATTTTTGATTGGGAGTTTGCAGACCTTTTAGAAGCCTCGGGCGGTTGCTTATTTAAACAAGTTCTTACTGCTTGCAGGTAAGCATCGCCTTTTCTAATAAGCAGTGTGTAAATAATTAAATTTAAAGAACGTTCTCAGTGCACTTTTTAAAATATCCATACCTTGTGCTTAGTTGTGTTTGTATTCTCCAAGTCGCACAATATTAGTCACAGTTTTGCGGCTTAAAGGCCTTTAACACGTAAATTATAGCGAGGAGACGGTTGCCTTATGGCCTCTCACTTTGAGGACAATGAGAAGTACTTCAGGGAGAGCAGGCCTACTTTCTGTAATGGAAATAATCAGAAAATAAAAAATAGAACTTGGAGTCCCAGCATTGCCGAGGTTGGCAGGGAGCTCTGGAGATCTACTCCAACCTCCCAGCTCCAAGCAGGGCAGGCTAAAGCGGGTTGCTCAGGGCCTTAACCAGTTGGGCTTTGAGTATCTCCAAGGATACTGATGGAGTGTATTTAGCTAATAGCGTAATTTATTAAAATGTATGGTAGGAGCAGTGTATTAATAACAAGCAGCATGTCAGTTTTATTTCTCTACTATTCCTTTATTGAATTCCATCTTGCTGCTGGGTCTGTTGTTTAATATAATGCTTTTGAATTTGTCTATAATTTTTAAAAGCAGAAAGGACACAGTCTCTCAGAAAAAAAAGGCAGTATTTGTGGCCAAGGGAGTGAAAAAAGGCTAAAATTATGAAGGTTGTAAATCTATTTATTGAGTGTTCTAATTAGCGGATAGTGATGTTGGGTGGTAGGGAGGATACTGATAGGGATGGTGGGTTTGCAATTTACAGTACACCTTCAAAATTTTGCTTTTGTCATGATTAGATGAGTGTCCAAGTAAAGTATTACTTTTGCTTCCTACTATTTAAATGCAGAAGCTGCTTCGTGGGTCTCGATGTGTTAGTACACCTTTCCCCTTGGAAGCATACAGGGGAAATGATGAAATGTGATTGCTGGTGCTGCCTATCTGATGCTTTCTTTCATTTTCTTCCATTAAAATCTGCCAGGAAAAGGCCAGCTGCCTCTACCAGATTTTCATGGGATGTGGCTTTGTGTGATTTAGAGTTGTTTCTTTCCCTTTGGTATTTTCTTCTTGCTGGCAGAAGTTTTGCAAACAGCAAGGACAGGTTTTTGTTGTTGTTGTTGTTCCTATGTTCAAAATACTAAAGAAACACATTTAGTTCTATAGCTGGTAGTAAAAAGTTGGGTTTTTTTCCCAGATATGCAAATGATTAGAAAAACAGCGGGGATTTTGAACTTCTGGAATTTACGTCTAATCTTGTATTTCTCTTGGAGCTTAGACTTAGAGCCCCACCAGCCTCCCTCTTCCTCAGGCTGAGGTTTCGCAGTAGCTTGGAGCCGACCCTGAGCACCATTGCTGAAAGGGGAACCTCGGCTCTCCGCCGTCTTTTGATATGCCTGCTGCCTGTGTTTTGTTGGTACTGGTGCTCTTGCAGCTGTTCTCTAGCAGACTGATCAGCCTGAAAATTAGTAATTTCTTTTTTTTTTTTCTTTTCAGCTTATTTTCAGGAGGTAGATTTTTTTTGATCCAGCTCACCTCACAGCTACACAAGTGCTAATGCCAGCCTTTGGGAGGTGGCAGAAATATCTGACCGGGGCCAGGCAGGAGCATGGAGTTGCCCGTTTCACAGGCAGTCCAACCTTGAATTGGATTAACACAGCTACAGTAAAATAGGATAACATTTTGAGTGTGGTTTGGGGTTTGTGGTTTGGTTTTGTTTGTTGTGGTTTTTTTTTTTCTTTTGTGTCCTCTGTTTTGTAAGGCTGCTTCAGTACTCTGAATGAAATATTTTAGGTAAGTGGCAATTACTGTTGTTAAAAGTGCTTAAGAATTCAGGTGTGTGGTATGTGATCATAGAGCTTTTTCTGTATGACAACAGTTGCCCTATATGAAGTGCCATGCAGCAGCACATGTTCAATATTCTGCCCTGAGATACCAATCTCTTCATGTTCAAAGTTTTTCCTGGAAATACAAAACCTGAAGAGGATCTATAATAAAGTAATCAAAGAGATAGTATGTAGAGGCGGAAGAAAAACAGTAGCACACTATTATGATGGATGAAAAGAAACTCAAAACCCTATCTGTTTTTGTAAATTTGTTAATTTGCATGGACAGATGTTTCTTGTGTGTGTTTTCTCTCTGTCTTTCTATGTGTAGTATTTATTTTGCCTTATAGCAACCATTTGTTGTAGAGTAATGGGACCTGTCTGTAAGTGTCTGTTGTGTTCTGTTGTCTTGGGGTTCAGGATTCAAACTGTCCTCCAAAATCACCGTTCTTTAGGTGGATCTCAGCAACCAATGTAACTTAAGTAAACCAGAGCAGAATTAAAATAATTCAGTGTACAAAACTGAGTCAGTTAGGTTTTGTGCATCCAAAACATAAACCTTCTTGAATCAGGATTTGAGTTTTGAGTTGTTTTTTAACTCCCTAAAGTGCTGTGTACATTGTATTTCTAGGTATATGTGTCCATGAAACAAGATGGAGAGAAGATAGTATAGTGAAGTGGTGTACTTGTGGACAGAATGGCTTTCCTGGACAACCCAACAATTATACTGGCTCATATTCGGCAGTCACACGTGACCAGTGATGACACAGGGATGTGTGAAATGGTCCTGATAGATCATGATGTTGACCTGGAGAAGTTTAATCCCTCGTCAGCATATGGGGACAGTGGTTCAGAAACACAGGGAAGCAACGGTGAGACTCAGGGCTATATATATTCCCAATCAGTTGATATTACCTCAAGCTGGGACTTCGGAATCAGAAGACGATCAAACACAGGTAAGTGATGTTTGCAGCCAAGATAACATTAACCTTTTAAATTCAGTTTCTATTAGTCTGGCTTGCGTGGACAAATGAGAGCATGACTAGCTAGGTATCTTGTCAAACTTCTCCTTTTGTACTGTCAAGACCCTTTTTATAAAAGGACATGTAATGATTCAGTTACTTTAGTGTGCAGTCAACTGAGTTTTAATTGCTGCTTTACTTACTCATGTACAGAGGAACATTGAGGTAGTCAGTTTTATATATATAAAAAAAAATTTATAAAGGTATCAAGTCTAAATCCCAAGTACATGCACAGTCTTTGATGTTTCTATTGTTAATGTCTGCAAGGGTGTTAACTTTTGAACAAGATAGTTATTTTCTGAGAAAAATCTACCTAGTGAGGCATCAAATTATTTGTTATAAAAGAAAGGAATGAAGTTTGATGTGAGCCAATGAAGTGAATGATTTATCTGTATTTTGTCTTCTGAAGTTTTATTTCTGAGAAAAACCTTGAGCTGGGTTTTAAGTTACCAAATTAGAAAGTTTAAGGGTGTACACCTTTTCAAAATAGACTAAGTTTGTCTTGACTGGAAGAAAGATGTCCCGTTTGTCGTTTCATATGAGAGATATCCTGACTTCTGCTTATACCCGAGGAATGCTATGAACAAAAGTTCTGCGATATAAAATATAAAATATATGAAGAGGTTGGTGCAGGGTGGTCAATACTGATCTCTTTTTTTCTGTGTTACAGTATATATTTTTCTCAAATTATTTCTGAAGGTATTATAACACCACCTAGAGCCCAGAAAAAACATCCGTGCTCTACCTAACAAGTAAAATGTTGCATGGTATTGAGTATCTTGAAATACCTTCTACAAATAGGAAGTTGTCAAAAGTTAAAGAAAAGGCAGGGTGCTGGTCTCTTATAATGGAGGGTTTGATTTGGAAGTAAGCTGAATATATAGGTGCAACTGACTGTAAGGCACGGTGAAAAGTTTAGTGTGCCAGACTGCCTAGCATTGTCCTTGAGGTCTTGTTTAGTTCAGTTGATGGTATGAGGAAGCAGAGCCAACCTTCAAAGTTTTATAGAATTGCTCCAAAAAAACTATTTCGAAGGATTATTTTACCACGTGAGTAGACTGATATAATAATCTCCCTTTAAATTATGGATTGAAACTATTTCAGTTTCCACTTGGTGGCATATTCTAAAATAAGGGTTAGGACACTCAGTCCATTGGCAAGCCAGTTTTTTGCCTCTTTTCATCTGGCACTTTTATATTCCGTTGTGTGTGCTGATACTACCAAGAACCTACTGCAATTGTCAAGGCAACCAGGCTATGATTTGAAACGGAACAGGGTGGAAAAAAGCCTAGAAAGAAAGCGTGTTGATCAGTACTGAACCCTTTTCAAAAACACAGGAAGAGGAATAAATTAAATAGAAAATTAACTATTTTTAATATAAATGCTTTTTGCATTGTACAAGTACTTATCTAAGTTCTTGATGGAGGAAGACAGAGACATACATACATAGAAGAAAGTGTTCATACATCTCATAAGTACAAAAACTCATTAACTGTGAAATCTGCAATTTTTGCTCATAAAACGGGCAAGCATAAGGACATTTCTTTTTTACTTAATCCACAACTACCTAAGTAGATTTATCAAGAACAGGAACATTTGTTGTTTGAAAAGCAGATAATGGTTTATAGGTTTGGAAAGAGAATAAAGTGTAATTTTGTGTATCAACAGGTAATAGTGGCAGGCTTTTTTAACATTCAGGCTCTTCTTTATTCTCCTTGGTTTTATATACTGCTAAGTAAAATTATTTCTGCTTATACTGGCTTTAACCTTTGTTTTTTGGAGGGAGTATAACTTTCTGTTATCTTTTGCAAAGCTGATTTGTCATAAAATACCTTACCAGGATAGTATCTTTTTCATAAATTGTAGAAATAATGTGTTAGTGTAGAAGACTCAGCACATCTCTGTAGAGACTACAGAAGTGTTGGTCATTAGGTAGTTCTCATGTGGGTATGCAAATTTGGAAATTAATTTTACATGCATTCCAATACCAAAGTTGTCCCCTTAGTCTTGAAAGGGATGTGCAGTAGGTGAGACATGTTAGGGTATGGCGCATTGTGTTTGGGAGAACAGAGGTAGTCTGCCACGGAACTCTTCCTCCTTTTCTGCAGGGGCTGGATGGGTCATCGGTGGTCTTTGGCTCAGGGCTGCCTCTCCTCACTGCCTTCTGTCTCCTGTATCCAGAGGGGTAAAAAAAAAAGTGGAGACAGGTCTGTGTGAGGTTTTGGGTGTGTGGGAAAGCAGCAAATTCTCCCAATCTACGCGACCAGAAACAAAGACTCATTTCGTTGCTAATAGTTAATGAAACAAGAACTACATTTGGTCAGTGACATTTTTCAAACCAACATGCCTCTTGTGAGAATGAACCTTAAATAATTCAGATTTGTAATAGATACTGATAATTCCATCAAATTTAGAGTTGCTATAATATAATCCCACAGTAAATGATCATTTGTGATCAACTGTAGATAGAAGAATAGAATGGAGTTAGCGAAGATGGTGACTGCGCTTTAGTACGTTTGTTTTGACAAGGGATGAAAGTATCAAATAGGATAAAAACATGCATTATTTTTTACTTCATCCATTGTTTACAAACTGAATTTAACAGATATTTTATGATGACCCATTTTGGAAGAAAGGGGTTTGGAAGGTAATTTTGAGCTACAGTCTGGACAGTAATTGGAAAAAAAAAATGTTTTTTTCTTTCAGAATAAAATATCTACGCTACAATAGTGTCTTACCCAATATTTAAACTTATAAGCGGGGATACGTATTTCATGAAGAGTGAGAATCATAGAGGCATTCAGGCACTAACCTCATGTTGACTTAAATGGGAAATAAGCATCAAAGTCCCTGTTTGTGTTTGTACCATAAACTCCTTGTTAGAGCTGTTAAACCTCAAAGTATTATTTTTTTCAACAGTTCCCAGCTTGAGAGGTTTTATGGGGGCAAAAAAACCCACAATTACTTCTGTCTCCGCAATTCAGTTCAAAGACTAAATGTAAGAGAATAATACTAGGAGGGGTAGAAAATATTTATTAACTTTTTTTAATTGGTGAAATGGCTCAGGGAACTCAAATTGTATCTAAAAATTGTCAGAATAATTTAGCATTTTAGAATCTCTTCTGCAAACCCATTTTAGTTAATGAATGATCTCAATACATCAAAATTGCTAATATATCCAGCAAATTGTTTCCTTCAGTGATCAACATTATTAGTCCTACTTTCCAGTCTAATCTGCTTTCTTATTTTGAGTGGACACTTCATAACATCGGTTATTTCTTGTGGTCATTGTCTTGGGTAGCTTCTACCAGGTTTAGCTGACTATTTCCTGAGAGAGATCTTGCTGTTTACAAAAAGATAATTTGAGGTATTTTCTGGTACCCTGATCTATAAGTTCTTTGATATTCTAACTATTTGAGGCTTTTTTCCAAACCATATTTTGAAGATGGAGTCAGAATATACATAAAGAAATGTTATATTCATTTTAAGATTTGACTAATGTTGTGAAGATACAAATCATTTATTTTACTACCTATAAACTGTTTCGGCACACTGAAGAAAAAGCTATGCTAATTTATATAGCTTTGACATTTTATAATTTTCATGATTTTTAGATAAAGGATTTTATATTTAAAACTTTAATAGTCTAGTCTGAGTTCATTTATCTTTAATTTTTGAAACGGGTAGAGTAATTCATAACAGTAATTTTATTCCTGTAATGTAATATTCACTTCAGTTCATTTGTGCATTAAAATTCCTTTAAGACCGTTATTAATGATTTATATAATGAAATGTCATATTAATCACAGAAGTTTTCACATTTTATTATTCTCTTCCATGTTAATACTATCTTTATGATCTCTATTAATGTTTTATATCCTCTAATTTCAATTATAAATCAAGAACATTTTCATGTTTTTGTTGGTATTTGCTTTTCAGGGGTGCCACCTTTAAAATTTTATGACTTTTTCCCCTACATATGCAGTATAAACCATCTTTATTCATATAAAGGTAGTTAATTATGTCTTTGTTTATAGTAAACTTTCATTGACAAACTTATAGTTATAATATTTCTTTTCAAGCTCAGAGACTAGAACGTCTGCGGAAAGAGAGACAAAATCAAATAAAATGCAAAAATGTTCAGTGGAAAGACAGAAATACTTCTTACTCAGGTAAAAAGAAAATATCTTCTATTTTCCTGCTGTTTTTATTTCTGCTTTTGACGGTCACAACTTTTTTCGGTTTGTAATTTTCACTTAAGCTTTCAAAGCATAGAGGAAACACTAATTATTGTATTTGCCTTCCGTTTCCCAGTTATGTGTTTCCCGGCGTTTATTGGGTAGGGGGGCTGGTGTGCTACAGGCATCTCGTTTGTTTTCAGCTATGACTGGGGCGTTCCAAATTATTAATAAAGGCAAAGTAAAGAAAAAATGTTTTAAACCTGGTTTGTTGGTCTGAACTAATTCAAGTGGCTGCTTTATTTTTTGCAATATAAGGTGTTGATACAGTGTTTGTGTATTCTGTCATCTTGTAGCAGCGTTATCTTCTAAGGCTTCTATTGTCTCAAGGAGCAGGAAATGGAGTTAGTGAAGCTCTTAGTGTTACTGTGAGGTGTGTAAGGAACAGGACATGTCTTTGCTCTGTGGGTAGGTGATTGACAAGTGTCTGTATTCAAAATGCAGGATCTTTATCTCAAAGATCTTAAAGGTCTTTTCCAGCCTAAGCGATTCTATGATTCCATGTAAGTTACGGCGTTCCAGCTATTTCCAGTGGCATTTGGTGTGATGGATGTGATGAAGCATTTTGTAGAGTTTACTTTTATAGAATATTTTTGTGGTTACTTTTCTAGATAAAGGGAAAATCTTAAGAAATATATATATATATTTATATATATGATCTGCTTAACTGATGAAAGCATGATAAATGCTGCCTTAGCTTATCTAGCCTTTCCTTGGAAAAACTATTATCACTGATTTCTCAAAAAATATGCTATTCTTTTTTATTATTATTACTATATAATGAAGTATTTCTGACTGGATGTTCTACATAGTTTAAATTGTAATATATGAAATGAAAAATCTGACTCAATTCTCATATTTTATAGCTCAAGCTAGTATCTGTTCCTGTTATATTTGACATGCATTCAAACCTTTGTAAGGTCTGTCATGCCTACTTCTTTCAAAATTTGTGTATATCTTAATGAGGTCCCTCAAAAAAAAATCTCTTTTTTTTTGCCTAAGTCCTTGTATCTTCCTGGCTGTCATTTGAAGAACCTTCTCCAGCTCTATAGTATCTTTTTTTAGAGGAGTGAACAAAGCTGCTCACATGAGCAAACACGGTTGCACTAATCCTTAGTACAGTGTTCAGCTATGTTTGATACATCTGGTAATGCATTCTAAAATGTTTTTGCCTTCCTACTTCTGTAAACAGAGTTGTAAGTTTTAAAGTTTAATCTACCATAACCTCCAACTCTTTGCTCAATATTTTGTAGCATTTGACCAATGATAATGCAATTCTCTTTTTCTTCTTTATCCCTAACTATGTACTGCTTGATATTTCTTTACACTGAAATGCACTCAGACTCCAGTTTCCTGCTGCGTCCGTGCTGTTTATGTTGTCTTATTCATGTGGGCTCCACCGTGACAGTTAGTTCTTTTATGTGCTGCCCTGGAGATAGACATAATCTGTCAACCAGCAGTAACAGAGGCGTCCCCCTCTGTAAGAGTGTGCTGGGGTTGCAGGCAAATAGATTAGTCCCTCCCTGCTGCAGAACAAACTTAAATAAAAAATAAGTGACATAAAAACTCCGACCACTTACTATCTCTCTTTATTGGCAGAGCTGATTTTCCTTCTCTGATTAGTCACTGAGATTCTGCATGTTTCTCACTTACTTGCATGAAGAACAACACAGTAGGAAGAGGCCAGGAAAGAGAGGAGCCCTAAAGGATATCCACTGTATCTTCCTCTTTGTCAAGTGTGTGTGCATATGAGGCTTTGTCTGTTCTGTTCCTTGAGTTTAGGTTATTGGAAATTATGTGTGAAAGCAAGAACAACAGAAATAGCTGTTCTTAGATGAGGGGGAATTTGGCTGCCCTCTTCTAACTGTGTTTATCTGAGCTTTAGACAAAGTCGAGCCTATGATTGACACTAAACTAAAAGGATGCTGGACAGTTGTTGTTTTGTCCTACGTTAGAGTCTGATGACACCACCTCCAGAGATCACTCATCAGAGATATGTCTTACTGTAGTGAGAAACTCTTAGAAGAATTTCTGCTCTCCTGCAGTTGGATTTGTAGTCATAATTTGAGGCATCTGGCAACTGAGTAATTTTTTTGATTCCCATTTTTAATTACTATGTACAGAAATAAAAATACACTAACCAAGGTAAAGGAAAGTGAGACACGAGTAATTTTGTGCATGGTAATGAGGAAAAAAAGAAGAATATTTTTCTAATCATCATCTGTTTGCCCACTATCATGAGACAAGCTGTTTGCTTTGTCAGGAATGAGTCTGAAAGATAAAGTGATAGTAGGGTATGGACTTGAAAAAGAAAATCTCCATGCATTTGGAGTTGGTTAGGGGATTAACAAATATAAAGATGCCTCAGGGGTAGCTGACTGACTGGAAGCAAAGTGTAACACAGTGGAGGTCTGGGTTTTTTGTTCTGCTGTGCCACCAATTCACATCACCTTTCTGTGCATCAGTTCTTTTTTAGTAAAATGGAAAGAATGCTTAGCTTCATGAGGTGTAGAGATCAAATTATGTTAGTAAAGCAGTTGAGACATGGTTTAGTCTTCGAGACATGGTTTAGTGGGTTTAGCAGGCATGGTGGCATCAGGTATACGGTTGGACTTGATGATCTTTGATGTCTCTTCCAACCGTAATGATTCTATGATACTATGATTCAGCCCATATAGAATAACTCATATAACTAACAAAAACTGAAAAATTCATATAGTATAGACTAAAGGCAAAACTTAGTTTTAATTGAGAATTAAAAATTATGCAATTAAAGCTAGTTTAATGTAAAAATATAAGCTGGGGTTTTTTCCCCTGAAATTTGAGAATTTTAAATATTTTTTTTCAGTGTTTTTAACTGGAACTCTCACAGCCCAAGTCTATTAGGAATTATTTGACAAAATGCTCAATGGAAGGTTGTAGTTTTTCAGAAATCTCATCTACTAGCTTTTTGCACAAACCTGTAGAAGGTTTTGGGTTCTTCTTCCTAAATGAGTTGACTTTTGAAATTATGAAGTTTTCTGGAAAAGGAAAACTGTATCTCAGCCAGCTGAATTTACAGTCTTATAGAATGTGCTGTTATTAAACTCTACAGTCATGTGAGGTATTTGACTTGAGTAAAAGCTATGCAAAACTCAAAGCAAAACAGATGTCACACTAATGAATTCAGAAGAATTCTTGAGATCCTGTTTTTGCACATCCCAACAAAGGAAGCAATAAACAAATCATCTTAACATTTCCCTAGAGTCAAAACTTGAAGCTAAAAGACTTGCATTTTCACTTGAACCAATAAAACCGTTATATTGGATTGCAAGGTACAGAGTATTTTCCAAATGTCCAAGAAATACCAGTTAAGGGTAATATTCTAGCATAATTGTAATATAGATTGTTTATTAAAAAAACCCCAGAGATAAGCTTGTTACAAAAAAAAACCCACACAAACAAAAAAACCCCACAAAACCAGAATACCTAATGGACTTTAAGTTGCCACATTTAAAAAGGATTAATCAAGCTTTTTTGGTTAATCGCAGCCTCCCACAAGACTGTTGGGTGTCTCTTAGTGCCAGTATTTAGCACTTTTGCCAACTGTCTGAATTTTCAGGCAATCTGCTGGTAAAAATAAACTGAGCTTTTGACTAGTTATAATTTGACAAGTTTTAATTTCACATTTTAAGAAATTAACCAACTTCCTGGAGATCAAGTCCCAAGTCATTCTGCCTTAGGAGCAGTTTCATTTCCCTGGAGGAGCAACATGTAAATCTTTGGGATGTGAGAGAATCCAAATGTAGGAACGCAGAGCAGAGTCGGTCTAGGAGTGCTGGTGTTGATTCTCAGGTAGTGATTAATGGAGTTTGGGGGTACTTGGTTCCTAGAGCAGATGTGGAAAAAACTTGTCCAGATTTAGTCACAGTTTCTTGCAGATGAGACCCATTGGTACTGATATGCTAAAATACCCCAGGCTCTGTCCTGATTTTGTAGTGTCCTTATAAGAAGCCCTAGTTTTTTTTGTTTGTTTTTTTTTTAAGTATGCCTTTATATTTTGAGTTAAACTGTTGCTGGAAATTCGGCTATGCAGTTTCTTCATATAAAAAGAGCTGCTTGTCAGAGACTTTTATGAGCCCTCACAGACCACACAAAGACTCACTGTTATCACCTTTGTTTTTAGAAAGCTTTTTCTTTTTTTTAATTGTCCAGACTGGTTGTCTGGAATGATGTTTTCAGGTTTGACATTTTTTTGAGAAGACCATATCTGATCTGCCATGAGAAGTAAAATCTGAAGAAATTATTCTTTTGCGTCAGATGTAGTCCCAAGCCTACTGCTGACAGAATAGTGACATTATAGTATAATAATGGGGTAGTATAATATTGTGCTGTAATATAGCATAATATCATGTGTTACAAGCTCAGTCTGAAATATTTTTGCATGGCACATTGTAGATATGTCAACAGTTCTTTTGCATAGCATTTACTTCATTTAGAAAAAGGTAGGCAAGCAGAAAGACCAGGAATGTGTAGTTTTCTCTTTGAATCTTGATTTTTAACTTGGCTCAGGTGGATCTTGTAGTGATCAGTTCCATTCTCTGTATGGGAAAAATTAATCTTATCTTCAGTCTAAAGAGTAGCATCGTTCCAGCTTCTGATGGTTTCATATCTTTGGGCTATGAAAGAGTGGTGTTAGATTCTGCCCCGCTAAAACATTTGTTGTTTTATATATTTGATTTTGTTCTCCCTCTTATAATGTTATCTTTCTGTGGTAAACAATAGCCTTTGTACATCTCCTCATACAACTACTCTGATCTCTTTTCTAATCTACAGCAGAGGAGCTGAGCTCACTATTTGAAAAAAAGAATTTCAGAGTAAAATCTCCATGTTCTGGGAAGCAGTCAATACTGTCTGTGCGACTTGAACAGTGTCCACTGCAGCTGAATAACCCCTTCAATGAGTACTCAAAATTTGATGGCAAGGTAAGTGGACCAGATGTTTTTCTCTCATATCCAGGAGGTCCCTGACCTGAAGATGATAGGCTTTGGGCAGTTCTTGTATGCATTTAGTTGTTCAAGCTTTAATTAGACTTTATAGTAGGCCATCAGTTATTTTAAAGTGATTATCTAGAAATATACTTCTCTTAGTCCTAAATTGAATGGTTCCAGGCTCAATAGAACCATTTCTCCTGTTTTCATTACAAAATCATGGCCTTACCATTAGGCATGCCTGACCTTGCCGTTTTCTTCTCCAGCAGGTTAGTTAGGTAAACTTTGAGTGTAGCAGAGTCCTAGGACATCTCTCTACAGAGTTGATGGTGAGACCCTTTGTATAAATGATTGGTTATTTGGCATTTAAAAAAAAAAAAAAATCTCTTCTGTCTAGCCACATCACAGCACTTGCTGAATATTTCATGATTTATGCTATCTTTATCCTCAAAATGCTCCAATGAGAGTGGGACAAGCTACTGTCTGTGTTGAGGGTGGAAGACTGATACATCAAGAGGTCAATAGCTAGGGCAAAAAAATAACTAAACAATGTAGTTCTGTGCAAATACTCATTTATGTAACACACAGAGGAGGTTCGCTACAAACTTGGCAGGTCACATTCATTCCTTGACTACATTCATTTCAAGAGCTTGCATTTGATATTACTCAGAATTGTGGATAACTCTCTTTCCTTGTGTGTGGTTTAGTTACTCTGAATTATCAAATACTTTTCTCTGTTGTAAACTCTAGAAATTGAAATATAAACATTGGTGTGATGGATCTGTGTCATATTGTTCCAAAACAATTATAAATACTGCACAGATCTGTTTTCTGCTGGATTTGTTTGTGGAATCTCCTGTGGGAGTATGAAGTTTGAGCTTCATTACCATTGTGATGGAAGAATTTCATATTCTGTTAAGTATTCTTGAAGTGGAAAGTCAGATATGTAATACCACGAGCATATCTAGAAGTATTTAGAATATATGTGAAACGGTAACCCTTAGACTATGATCTCCACTTAGCAACAGCTGCCTTTTGTTGTTTTATACTTACTAGCTTGTAGTATTTAGTGCTAATTCAGTTTTTCAGACTTTCTGTCCTCATTAATAAATGGTAGCAATACTTTAATGCTGACAACACTAAGGTGCCTTTTTTATAAACTCAAAGCTTGCTGTTCTTAAGTCATGAAATTTCAGTTCGGCAAACATTTAAATGTACTTCCAAGTCATGCACAGAGGAATTAAAAATAAAATACTACTTTATTAAGAGAAATCTGATTGTAATTCAGCGGCGTCCCGGTCTTGTTGGTTTAATACTTGAACATAATTTGGGCTACCTGCTAGAATTTTTCTCAGAAACTTGAGGAACTTAAGCATGTTTCCTTCCCACTTTGACAATCCAAATTACTTTTTACTGTATTAATAGAAATTATGGTTGACTGTAATGAACATCCTAATCTTCATATTTTAGAGTCTGATACATTTAGCGGGTGTCTGGTACATTTGAAGGAAATTACACTATACATATACCTCAATGTTACTCAATTGTGATTTGTAGGCTATGATACGAACCAACTTGATAGTGATCTAGAAATCAAAATGCCTTTATAACGCTCTAAAATAATTGAATTCAAGTTTTGTTAGAGTAGAATCTCACTGTATTAATTGTAACAGCATTGTTTATATGACTCTGGTAAGTTGGTCAATAGTACGCTTATAAAATTTATTCATACTTCCGTATGTGTTGTCTATTTTTAAATACCTACTTCACTATCTGAGATATAGAAGAAACATAATAGTTCAGTAGTGAGTTATTTTACTTACTTCGGTTTTGTTGTATTTTCAGACAGGAAAGTAAAATCAAAAACCATCTAGCTTTTTAAAATTATTTTAAATGAAATATCGTAGGTCTCGTATTTATTTTTATTGATAATATATGAGCAGTATTTTTCACATAAATTCAATTCTTTCAGGGAATAGTGCCTGACTTATTTACATAATTAACAGAGCCACATATCTCTTGGGGAAATGGTACATAATTGGGGAGAGGCAGGGGGGATGAGGAGGGGGTAGGGGCCTAATTAAACATGTCTTAAAAAAAACCCCTACTTAATTATGTTTTTACTCAAGGGATCACAGTGGCTCTGAAATCTTTAAGATTATAACTAGGCCTTTGGTTTGTATGTTTATTTGAGTTTTATAACTCAGATTTCAGCTTGTTGAATAACACCCATTTTGTGGTTCAGTGGCAAAGCATGAGGAAAGCTCTTTACCTGCTGTATCTAAGGTCTTTGTTCATGTGTACTCATCTTAACTGCATTCTGAATGGCTTTAACTTACCACTAATTCAGCTCCCTAACTGACCTGAAATTTAATAAACCCATTCTCTTCAGGGCCCTTCCTGCCCCCTCCCTCCAACATTTGATGTATTGTTTTAAGCTAATCAGTTAAAAATAAGAAAACATTGCATGCTGTAATATCAACCAAGCCAATTTCTTAAAATGCTTACATCTTGCAGGTGTTTCCTGCCAGATTTAGTGTATTTTTCATAACCACTTCTGCAATTTTATGAAATAATAAAATTTAAAGCGCTCTAGCTTCTTCTTGTTATGATCAGTTCATTAATTATCAAAATAGTAGAGAATGTGGCTTGTGAAATGCAACCACAATGGAAGCATTCTAATCAGCTCAAGAATTCAGGTGATTCTTGCCCCACAACTACACAACACAGATCTGTGGCTTTCTCTTACATTATAAACTTCAGCTCCTAACAAAAGACACACACACAACTACTCTTGGCTGTATCTTCAAGTTTTTCCTTAAAATAGTAAAAGTAAACCTAGCCCCTGTGTCTGTTTGCATGGTTTGTAAATCACATGGGTTATACATCTTGGTTAATAAGTCTTGAAAACTCCTGCTAAGAATATTGTATTAAAAGAAGCCTATAGTTATTTATAGTTACTTCAGTTGTCATTTGTATAGAAAATTACTTGAAGGCTTAAGAAATCAGTGGCCAAATTGATTTCCTTTATCTGCCTGCAAATTGAATTATCATCCATTTTATAGATAACTTCATGTATATTTCTGTTTACAGAATTTGGAAAATCAAATTTTGATGGCTTGTTGTTCCAACTTGCCAACTTTTGATAAGGTTGGGAAAATAAGACTAATGCTAAGACAGATTTCAAAGTCATAGCCAGGTACCACAAATGCAACACAAGAGTGTTGTAATGGCTCATTTCAGTGACACAACTGTGAGATTTACAACATTCAGTTTACCTACACATTACCTGCCTGCTTTCAGTAAGTGTTTTAAAAACATGTGTTATCTTTTCATTCTACGGAAATTCAGATTAGTTCTTTTCAAATTGCAAGTGTAACTTGCGTGAGTTGCTGGAAAGCATGGCGATGAGTTTTCTCTGAGATATTAATCTTAAAGTGTACTGATTTGGTACAGTATTAGTGTCAAGGCTATTCAACTCCATGACCGTTCCCACTAGTAAGAAAAATGTTACCAAGTTGTAATTAATTACTGGAATAGAGGAAAATCAAGCTAGAATCAAATGTTCAGCTTTGTAGGAGCCTCGTACTGAATGAGTAACTCCTGCTAAGGCCTCTGTTTACAGTTTCCCTTGAAATCGTCTCTGAAACTGGTCCACATCCATTTTTATTGCAAGTCTCTGCTACCTTTAAGAAATTTTAATCACTGAAATGTCTTTTTGAGATGCCTGCTACCAAATGGCTGCTCCTTCTTCCCCAGAAGAATGTTAGCAAACATGGAAGTGTTACAGGGCAGTCAAAAAGAAATGCTGAAGATAGCCAAAATAAGTCAAAGGAGAAAGTTGGAAAACCACAATCAAGATGTGAGGAAGGGATCATTGAGCTCTAGAATAAACTTGAGCTACAAGGCAAAAGACCTTTCCTACATTCAGACTAGAGTTTTCTGAAGATACTTTTATTGCTGTTTTCATGACTATGAGTTGAAAATGAAGATTTACAGGAGTCTAGCTTTTCTGACCTTATAGGGGTTTTGTGGGTTTACTTGGCTGCTGGAGATAATTTAAATAAAATAGGTCAACGTGATTTTTGACTGGATAGATGCTAAAAATCCTGTTGTGAGGAACAGTACTTCTGTATAGTGTCAGAAGGTTTTTTGTGGCTAATTTTGGTAGTGGGTTAAAAACCAACAATTTTTCTTGTAGCAACTGTTGTAAAAATGATGCTGTAGAAAGCATGGGGGAAGGGATAATTCATGAGTGCTAATTGCTTGGCTGTTAATTTTCATAAGTGTTGATAGAAGCAGTTCCTTAAATTAAACTTTGTTTAAAATGTATCAGGGGAAATATTCCACAATGTCGGGCCTGAAGTGAAAATTAATATGAATGCTGTGGCAATTAACACGTACTGGTTAATAGCTTTTAGCAGCATTTTGGGATGATAGTCCTTAAATACATTTTTGCATGCTGCTCTTGTTTCAGTCTTGTTTGACTGTATGTCTGGATAATCATGAACAAATGTTTTCTACAATCTCCAGTATTAAATAGCTTTACTCAAAGTAGATAAAGAACTTAAGAAAGAAGCAATACTGTTTTAATTAATATGGAAAAATGTCTAAAATAATTAATCCAGGATTAAAATACCAGTGTGAAAAAGTGCATTTTTTTTATTTAAATGTTTTGCCCCTAAGCTGAGTAGAAGGATCCTCATCTGACTCCTAAATAAGTTTGCAGAGGGTTTCTTTTAAAGCATTTGCTTATTCTGCCAATTTTAGTGGTTTACATACTACCTGTACTCTCCTAAAATAGTTGAAATGAAGGTGTTTGTAGTGTTATCGTTGATAAAAAAAACCCGCGGGGTCAGTCGTTATGCTGGGACACCTCCTGCTGTGGTTGTACCAGGAGCCAACGCCTCGACCAAGCCGTGCTGCCCGGGCGCAGTGCCACTGGTGTTGAGCCCTGGCTGTGACCCTGGGGCTGGTGAGAGTCCAGCCGCTCC